GGACTGAAATAACATTTTTCTAATATGATTTTCTTTAGCTTCAACTGCTAACATGACCATAATCATTTGCATTTTACGGTAATACTCATGCACGACGTAATATTCTACACAGAATTTAGTTCATCACAATTCATATCATGACTTGATATGTGGCTTCGAATAGATGTTTTACTATTATTGTTTTATATACAAATGCTGCTACAGAAACAAGCATAAAATAGCCTGCACCGAGCAACCACCTGCAGAGTTCTGCAAATCCAGACAGCGGAAGTTTCAGCAGTGATCTTTCCTGTCAACAGATGGAGACAGAGATAAGTGATTTCACCGGCTAGAACACTTCACTGGGTAGATTAATCTACTGGCTTGTTGTTTTAGGAAAGATTTGAAAAAGGCTTCTCAAAAGATCTGTCAAAAGTATTCAAAGAGGTTACAAAAGGTGGAAATTTAGATTTCCATCATTTTATTGCCTGCAAGCAGAGCAGGTTTGTCTCATGGAAAACTTCTATTAAAATCATATGCCTTGATAAAGTTCTATTATATATTTTCATCATGGTTGTGGGTAAGACAAGCTGTCATGTTTTTAAATTAAATAGAAACAACTTAATTTTTGGAAAGAGTTTTTTGACCACATGTAGTTATATCAGATAGAACTTCTCTGAGTCCAGAGACTCTTGCTCTTCTTTGGAGTGGGAAGACTTGTAAAGTAGCTGATAAAAGCAAAACTGGCAAGCTTTGAATCCTGTAATCAAGAATACTTTCTATCCCAATACGATTCAATCATGCTGTCAAAGGTATGCAGTAAACTGTAGCCTGGGACCACAGGAGCAAAGCAGGAGACACTGTTGGCTGCAGCCAGAGTCAGCCAGCGTGAGGTGCAACACACAGAGCTGCAAACCTTAGCTTTTCTCCTTCACAGATTCTCTGCCATTCTGTGTACTGGCAGAACTTGTTATAGAGTCTGTGCAAGTGTTTATGGATAAATAAATAAATATGTAATATACAAAATATATATTTAAAAATTCTCGATATAGCTGATTATCTCAGATTATAGATTTAATGTGTTTAAGAATCACAGGATCTGCACCTCTGAGGTTTCAACATAAACAAGACAGTTGTTTGAGGTCGCTGCCTTTGGAATTTGCTCCTTCTGGCACTCTGACAGAGCGCACTTTGTTGGCCTTCAGAACATACTGCAAGGCCAATCATTTCCATTAAGATTTGGCTGCATAGCTCTAAACAAAGACTTATTTTCCTAATCAGTGATTTGTTTTCTGATGGATAGTTAATTGGAATAGTACTGACCATTGCGGGCATTTATAAGTTGAAGCATTCTTTTATGTACGGTGCACCCAACACCACAGTAGTGGGTAGATTATAAATAATTTTTAAAACCCCATGCAGATAATAAGGGAATTCAAAACATGGCACATCTACAGCTGTACTATTGACTGTAAACTGGTCATTTAAAAGCAGAAGTAGCAAAACACACAAATTACTCTCTGATATTTATATTACTTTGGTTTCTAAGACCACACATACATATGCACATAGTTGATTTGGGATAAATTACTGGCTTTGCATTTTATGTGACCTGCAGAAATATGCAGTATCCCCCTGCCTCACAAATGAATGGACTGTATTTCTCAAGATTAGGAAATAATTTCTCAGATTAGAAAATGAGAAGACTGTTCAGAGATGAAAGGGACAGCTTGTTTTAACAGACTGATTTTATTATTATGAAAACAACCTAGCTAAACATTAATTACACATGAGGAAATATCTGTTTTAAATACTATAGATCTGTTTCATGATTTTCCCTTAAAGCTGGGAAGATTAATGGGTATTTGCAAATAGTATCTTCTGTAGAAATTCAGAGCCCCTTTGTCCTAAACTGGTGGATATTATGACAAGGCAAATTTTAAGGAGCAGAGTCTGATTAACTGAGAGGAAAACTAACAAATATTGCAAACATTCTGAAGGGATATCTCTGATTTTGGTCAACTGCATTCCATAATTTAAGGATAGGATAAGGAAAAGAAGATTAATGTTGAATAACATCCTGTTGCCATTAGCAAGGGCTGAATTCTTCAGTAACCTAAACTAAGTAGAAATCTAATAGAAGTTCAGCAGCTAGCCAGCAAATGTTGTCTTTGGATTCATCCAAAGCTTTTTTGTTTAAGAGGAAAAAAAACTTTTCACGGACATGATGAGCGACAGCAATGACTGAGGAATTTAGGAACTTTCTTAAAATGTTCCTTGTGTTCTATTTTCATTCTGGACTTACATAGGCAGTTTTCTTTGGAAATGAGTAAAAACTTTATTTACATACAATAGATAACCAGTTTCTTTGAATGACACCAGTAACCATAAACATTTCTCCTGCCTTGTCTTCTTTAAAATCCAGGGAAGCATGCTTACCCAAGACATTACATTTTTTCCCCAAAATGTTAAATATCAAATTCTCTAAATGACTGTGAATCTATTAATGATGTTACAATAACGTCTATTACTGTTTTAAATGTTGATTTATGTTGACTTGTATGCTCTGGGCAACTCTAAACTTGACTCTTTGCTTCATTTTAATATATGGCTAATTTACTAGTCCTAAAAGAAACTGTATTTTGGCAATTTAATTTCTTCCCCTCCTTGTCTCTTTCTTTTTCACTGTCCTTTACAATGGACTTGAGTCATGTTGGATGGAAACTTCTCCATTGTATGTGGTTCCGTGGTTGAAACAATTTTGTGCTTAGTTTCAAGTAGCTGTAATATAAATAGAAGCCACACCACTTTTTTATGTGGGATGATGTATTTTTATAACTTAAAGGATGATGATATATTTGAAGAACAAATTAGTCATTCTGCCTCAAGAACTAGTCTGTCTGAGGTATGCCACAAAATTGTTTTCAAATTGTTTACCTGGTGTGGAGCCTACTGGGAGTAAAAATAGATTCTTGATTTAGGCTTGGTAATTCCTGTATTACAGTTTGGCTTATTCTGTTGCTTAACTGATTACCATGGAGCTGTGCTGGTACAGAGCAGCAACACAGCCCTTAATAGTTTATGTCAGAATGTATTGTCATGGTTTATTCCTTCAGTATATTACAAGAAGCACATGAAGGTTGTAGCTGATAATGCTGCTCCTGATCAGACCTGCTGCCTAGCTATGAAGACATAAAAGATGCTATTTAGCATTTATATAGCACTTTTCAAAGAATCATAGAATCGTAGAATGGTTTGGGTTAGAACAGACCTTTCAAAGATCATCTAGTCCGACCCCTCCTGCCATGGGAAGGGCCATCTTTCACTAGATCAGGTTGCTCAAAGCCCTGTCCAACCTGACCTTGGATGGGGCATCCACAACATCATTCCAGGGATGGGGCATCCACAACTTCTCTGGACAGCCTGTTCCAGTGTCTCACCACCCTCACTGTAAAGAACTTCTTCCTTATATCCAATCTAAATCTACCCTCTTTCAGTTTAAAACCATTACCCCTTGTCCTGTCACTACAGGCCTTGGTAAAAAGTCTTTCTCAATCTTTCTTATAAGCCCCCCTTAAGTATTGAAAGGCCACAATAAGCGGTCCCCGGAGCCTTCTCTTCTCTAGGCTGAACAACCCCAACTCTCTCAGCCTTTTTTTTATAGAAGAGGTGTTCCATCGCTGTGATCATTTTCGTGGCTCTCCTCTGGACCTGCCCTAACAGGTCCATGTGTTTCTTGTACGGGGAACCCCAGAACTGGATGCAGTACTCCAGGTGGGGTCTCACCAGCGCAGAGTAGAGGGGGAGAATTGTCTCTTTCGACCTGCTGGCCACACTTCTTTTCATGCAGCCCAGAGTACGACTGGCTTTCTGAGCTGCAAGAGCACATTGCCAGCTCACATCCAATTTTTCATCCTCTAGTATCCCCAATTCCTCTGCAGGGCTACTCTCAATCAATTCATCACCCAGTCTGTACTGATACTGGGGGGCTGCCGTGACCCAAGTGCAGGACCCTGACATCTGTCTCCCTCTGGATGGCATCCCTTCCCTCTAGCGCGTTGACTGCACCACTCAGCTTGGTGTCATCTGCGAACTTGCTGAGGGTACACTCGATCCCACTATCCATGCCATTGATGAAGATATTAAACAGTATTGGTCTCAGTACAGACCCTTGAGGGACACCACTTGTTACTGGTTTCCATTTGGACATTGAGCTGTTGACTGTAACTCTGGATGTGGCCATCTGGCCAATTCCTTATCCATCTGATAGTCCACCCATCAAATCCATCTCTCTCCAGTCTAGAGGCAAAACTTTTACGTTCTTACAGCCTTTTACAAAAATTCCACACTCTCAGAAGTTATTTAAAGGATCCATAAAATAAACTTCACATTTTGTAAGCATGGAAACGGAAACACAAAGATGATTTCCAAAGTCTGAAAGGTAGCAAGGCCGGGGCAGAATTCTGCATCCCCACACTTTAACTATCAGGCCATGTAAGATAAAATAAGTGAAACACATCCATTTGCAACCTTTGACACAAGTTTTCTAGTATGCTAAACATATTTCAGGAGTTTCCTAGATTTGAGAGATATTTTTGTGAATTGCAGCACATAAAAAAAAGATTATCAAGTAATTAATTTCTCACAAGAACAACAAGAACTATTGTCTTAGTATTCTTTCTGACATCTTCAGGGCAAAGACTGTCTATGACAGTGCTTCTTATTATTTCCATGATATTTTATACAGATGTAACTGAAAGGAAACAATACAAAGCCTGGTAATTCACTGAATCCACAGTTATCAGTTTATTGGTAGAACCACACCAACACTTGGACTACTCAATTATATCTGGAGATAATCTCATTTAAATATGAAAATCCTATAAAACATGCTGAGAAGTTCTTGAATTCTTGTAGTTCAGGGAATGTCTGCATAGTCTTCCAGCCAAATTCTTTGAGGAAAATTTTGAGCTTAAAATTATAGAATAAGATTCTCTGTTTTACAAACAAAAGTTTCCTACCTGAGGCTGCTGAGTGGCAGTGGGTCTCTGAGGAGATGGTATAGGAGTTTTGGACAACATTTGGTTCATTTTGCTTACGACTAGATCAGTTATATGTTGCCTGTCTTCAGTCTGATGCTCACCAATCAGAGGCATTGCACAGTCCATGACCTGTAAAATAAAACAATACATCAGCTATTGATATGGCACCCAAGTAAACTTATTCCACATCTGTGTAGAATGTCAGGTCATCCGTTTACTTGTTTTTAAGAAAAGTCAAACAAGATCTGTAGAAATGGTATATGTTATATCTGAAAAAAGCCCGAGTGCAGGATATGGGTCAGCAGAGCAAGAGAACAGCAACTTTACAATGTCATCCCTTTCCCATCTTCAGGCAATATCCAGGTTCAGTATGATACTTGGGCATCCACGCTCTGGGGAACATGACTCCTGTGGGAAGCACATAGCAGATATGGAAAAGGAGGTTTCTTAGGCTATGCAGTGGTCTGCTGAAAATCTGAAGTAATTGCCCACGCTTCTGTCTAAGCTACACCTCTGAAGATCTTCTCATGTGTTTTTGTGGCTCATACCATGTTCATCAGCTGAATTAGAACATGGAAATGCAAACTAAAACTTCAGCTTCCTAGCTATTTGTTGGATTTCTGCTAGGGAAGGCTGGATCCTTACTGATTAATGAAAAACTTACTAAATAAGGTCTTGTTATTATTGATATGCTTTTTTGAAAAGCAGTGTGGCTGCAGTGCAGCTGATGCAAAAAAGAAGTAAGAATTTCTACAAAGAAAGCAGGATATCAGAGAGGCAAATAAAAACGTGCACATTTCCATTCTAAATGTGGCAGGTTAACAGTGTTCAGCAATCATTTAATTCAGCTATTCAGATGGATAAAACTAGTACTGAATTCAATTCACTTCAGTGGGTTAGAAGTATTTGTTATTTCTACACAATATGTGTTATTTCTACAGTGTATCTACTTTTGGTGCATCTGTGTTTGTTTCAGGGGAAATAAAAGCATAAGGTAATAACCCCAACTATTATTCAGAATGGCACTGGACATTCTTATTTCAACAATAAAAGGATTTAATGAACTTTTAAGAAACTGCAATCCATTTTCCATATGCATCAAAGCTATTCAGAAAAAGGTGAAGGCATGTCACCTGCAGCCCTGCATTCTGGTGTTTCTCATAGGTATGGATCACAAGTGACTGAGGCCTACAATACAAACAATAGTATTAATAATTAATAAGAGGCTGTCAGGGATAAAGCAGTTAGACTACATTAGCACTAATACACTGTATGGATGTCATTATATCTGACCCAGTTAGAGTCTTTGTACCAACTGAGTTGTGTCCATCTAACTTTCAGCCTGTGAAAAGCTGTCCAGCTGCCAATCTCATACAAGATTTCTCACTAGTGCAGGCAAATCATGCACTAGACACAACAGTAAGCTGTGCTGGTAAGAGAGAAGGTGTTGGTGGGTGAAGAAGGGAAGAATCATTCGTAAGGGAAGAATCATTCGTAAGGGATCCTCACGGGTTTTGCACTACTGCAGAAGGATCAGTGAATTTTATGGGGTTGTTTTAGTACTTTCAGAAGTGCACTGCATTTCTTTGGCTTCTGAGGTTCCTTCTCTATTGCAGGTAAATGGAACAAGACCGAAAAGGTTCAACAGAGTCAAAAAAGCGCTGGAAGACTCTTGCTTCACACGCAACTGTAAGTGCTAACGGTCAGAGAAAAACCTTAAACTTCTCTCACTCCTATCCAATCCCTAGCAAAAGGACTAAAAAGAGAGTTCTGCTATTGGGAGGCAGGGCTATTTTGGCTAGAGGGGTTGACTCCCATCTCTTCAGGTGGGCATTCTGCTGTAGGTTGTTGCCTTGAGCTATTTTTGTTCATTACCCAGCTTGTGTACTTGAAAGGAAGATAGTGAAATTTTGTGATAAGACCTGATTCTGCAAGTATTTACAAGGTGGAAGAATTTTGTTATCTGTAGGGGTGACACGGGGATCAGACCCATGAGCATAAAGCTAGTGCATCTGCATTGTATGGATCCCTCCTGAGGTGGAAGGGATATAGTGGGGAAAACAAAACTCTTTTCAATCCATGAGCCTACACTGAACACTTTATCTCCTTTATAGATGAAGAGCACCATTTTACCTTCCTTCTTTTAGATATTCAGGTGCTTCTAGGAATTAGACACACAAATTGGGTATTTAAAGAGACATTCGGATTTAAAAGAACATGCAAGTTCATTCTGACACTAGAATGTAACCTTCCACCTTGCACAGTAGTTGGGAATGACCTGCATTGTAAATAATATTACCTAAGCGTGAGGATTTTCAAAATATGGTAAGTGCTACAGGAATTCTTACTGAGGCTGACAAAGACTACTTTGTCCTAATAATGACATTAGTTTGAAGCCCAAAAGCATTTACATTATTCTTCTGTTTATTCATTTACAAGAGACACTGGCATTGTGCATTGGCAACCAAAATGTTGGCAATGCTTGTTTTGGGATTTTCAGATCTAGGATGTTTCCTCTAAGCTTCCTCACAGCTAAAACAATTTAAAAGAACCCCAAAGTAAACAATGTAATAATAATTGAAGTCTAGTGCAAATGTTTCCTAAGAAATGAATGAATGTTTTTCCACTCTTGGGCCACATCAACAATATTGCAGAAATGCTTACTAATTAGACAGAAAGTTTCTATAAAATTTACCATATTTTTTTATATACATACTTTTTAAGTGGAACATAAACAATGTTTTTAATTAATTGAGAGAAAGGTATCGAACCAACATGAGTTGTAATTTCTGAATGGGTAAAATGTAGTCTTGCTGGCTTGTGTGGCTCTTGAAATACAAAATTTTTGTGGATTTACTTTAGTATTAATGTCTGCTGAGTTATTGCTATTTCTTAAAATTACTGTAATGCTTAAAGATCCACTTCATTTTATCACAAGCTTTGTCCTGCAAGAGTAGGGACATAATGCCTGGAGGGAGGAGGCAACCATATGTGCCAGATACTTTGGCCAGGACTTTAAAGTGTTAATAATGACTGAATGCTAGAATGTCTTGATGTCAGTGTGAGGGACATTGGATGTTTGGCTGGCTGCTGCAAAACATCTGATTTTCAGAGAGGCAGTTATGTCTTCAGTCTAAAAATCTGGCCCCGCCCCCCCCCCCCCTTGAAGGCAGGCATTAATAACAGTTACTTTTTAAAAATATTGCCCCCTCACTATCAGGTGTATATTAACCCCTCTCTTACCCAACAACAGAAGCAACAGTTCTGTGTCACAAGTGTGCAAAGAAAACTTCGCTTTGTTTACAATCCAGTTACATTAAAAAAAAAAAATACTTGGAATGACTGTTAAACAAATTGTCTGAAATAAGATCCTGCCAAAGGATTAGACAGGATTAAGATCTGGAGGACTGGGTTCTGACTGAATTTCTATTTTTAAACTCTTCTATAACTGCGAGTTTACATATAAACTTTCCTTAGGAGATATTGGCATGTTGTTTACCAGAACATGTGGGAGAAGTGTAGTTCTATGGCTAAGGATAAAAAAAGAAGCCTTGAGGTGTTGCTCAAAATTTCATGTCCACTTCAGTAGAGAAGATCTTACATTTCTTGAAGACAGTATTTTCAAGCATAGCTGCCCTATTCACATATTGAGGCAGACTCAAACACATATGACATTAAAAACCATAGCCGTTTGCCTTGGCAAACTTTTGTCACTTGGACAGGTTTTGTTGTTGTTGATAACCCTTTTGTTTGTTGTCATACTTGAACACACATTGTTGGCCAAAGATACACTGAACCTAACACTGAAGAAGCACTGAGTCAGATGCCAAGTCTTGAATGATGATAAGCTATAATGCGCTCTGGTGCTTTCCTGAAGTACAAAGATAGCAGCCAAAGTGGGAAAAAGAGAAAGTAAGGCATCAGATTATCAAGAAAACTACTGACCCAAAGTGAAATGTCACTAAATGGCTGAGTGAGTAAAAGATTACCAAGGCTTAAAAGCAGTTCAGTTGCAGGACACTGTTCAGTTTAGTAACTGATAGGACTTGAGAGGCAATGTGGGTGGGTAGAAGTCATAGATTGCAGGAGGCTGAAGGGGCTCTTAACACTTGCATTGCTGAGAGGGAATGGCTAGAGTGTCCAGGGCACGGCATTTACACCCAGCCTTGCACGTGACTGCTAAGACAAGGCTTAGCTTCCCTCTCTTCTGTTATTGCTGCTGTGACTCTCAAGGATAGACGGTAACCTTACTAAGAGAGCACTTCTGCTATTCCTTGGCAAAGAAGCTTAGATCAAGGTGAATACTTTACAGGGTGGGTTTTGTTGTCTTTTTTTTTTTTTCTTTAAGAAAATGCAGTCTGTTTTCCTTCCTAGTAAAATAATTAATCACAGTTATCAGAAATCAGTAATGTTTTATATAAATGTATCTTAACAATTAAAAATACTTTGGGTAACTCTAACAGTTTTTAAAACCTGTGAATGACTAGCAAGAATGTCATGCTGGCATTTCCCCCACTTTAGAGGACTTGACAAAATGTAAATATACACAAAGCATCCTGTTTATAAATAGTCTATTTACAGCCTGTACTAGTTTTAAAATACCATTTAAACACAGCGAGGTTCTATTTTTTCAGTACCTAGTTCAGCTATTTAAAATATCGGAGTTTCCCACTAAGAGGATTTCATAGAAAGAAAGACATCTGTAATTATTAAAGTCAAATATGTTACTTTTGCAGATGCCAGTAAAAACATGGGTCACTATGAATTACAGTCACTTAATTCATATCGCTTCTATCTTTAATTTATACACATTTTGGTAACCAATTCTATGGGATGAATTTCTCTTATCACCCAGAAACCATATTCTGAAATTAAACTATGAGACTGAGTATATACAGCAGCAGTAGTAACAGAAACTACAGGAGCATGTTTAAGTTAACACAATACTGTGACAAAGCAAAACACTGACCTTTCACTGAATATTTCAGTCTGTCTCCTCTGCTGCTAGTGTGGATAAGGCAAGTATTTGAAATTTGGGCTGCAAGACTGAGACTGGCAAGAAAGAGAAGAGAAATGCTGTTTGATGAATATGAAAGGAAATGGGATGGGATCAATAAAGGAGCCAGTGC